CAGGAGTGTGCAAATGTAGAAGTTTCCGTAATTTAGATGTTACTCCTGTATCTTGCTTCAGTACTGAAGAATATGAACATAACTCTTACCAAATCAATGTGTGATCTGTATTTCTCAGGTGTAGGATCAAGTAAGACAATAGAGATTTGTCCTACTGCATCCTTCCAGCGGCAGTGGGGGCTCAGAGGGCAAGTTCATCTCACAGCGCTGGAAGGCCTTTGGCTCTGTAACCAAGAACAAAACCTGATTCTTGAACTTCAGGGCTATGAGGCTCTTGAAAGTTTCCACAGAATTACTATAGATCCCACCCAGTTCAACCACAGCTTGAGCAGCAGGCCTAACGCTGATTAAAATGATGTAAGGTGCAATGCCTAGCAGTTAACTTTTGCTTTCAGTAATGAAGCTCAGATTAGGAACCTAAAGATCTTTGACCTAACCTGACTTAAAGTAATTTCACTCATTAGTGTATGACAGCAATTTGTATGATATTTCAACTCGGTTTGAACTACAATTGATTAGCATGCTTTGAAAGAATCTGTGGCAATCCAATACGATATCAAACAAGCTAGATAAAGCAGAACAACAATAGTGATTAATAGGATTAATAGGAAAACTGAGAACAATCCTATATTTCAAGACCTACTTTGATCTTCAGAAAATAAAGTTCCCGCTTTTTATACAACATTTGATATGAATATACATCAAAGGATTTACAAAAGGAGGTTAGGAGTTCTGGGTTTTTGTGTTTGGGGGAGGGGGTTATAGCTTTAGAAGCTTAAGCATGGCACAATAAAATGAATGGTTTAAAGCCACATAACATTAACATGTTAGAGATGAGAAGTTTTTTGTTTTTACACTGCCATGCATAGCCACTTTAAGACAAATCGTGACCCTCATATTTGAGAAAGTGATTAAAAATTTGTAATGGCCTTTCAATAGCTCTGGAAGACTTGAGAGTGTCAAAAGATCAGAATAGCTGAAATTTAGTACCTTAAATATAGAAAAGGCTGAAAGCATGGAAATTGTATTTGTGGGAGTGTTTTTTTTAAAGAATACTAACAGTGTCATTAAAAAAAAAAAAGAAAAAAGAGGAAGACTATTAGATTTTGTAACATTCTAGGGTTTCCAAGAGTTAGCTACTAACCCCTAAATTAACTCACATCGGGTCTCCACATATTTTCTCTGCCAGTGCAGTGTTTGCCACGGCTAACTTTTCCAAACCTTCCTCCCAGTATATCCCCTGGAAGAAAAGCTCTTTTAGACTACTGTACAGACTAAAAGATCATTCAGATTAAGAACAGACTTGTTTTCTCACCTGGTGCCTATGGTGCGAGGAAGCCAGTATGCAGTACAACCTGCCCTTTTGAGGAGCGGAGTAGAGCAGGAAGGAGATCGGTCTTTACCATGCGCACCCTGAGAAGGCTCCTGCTTCGTGCAGTTCAAACCACCACAGCATACAATTAGTTTGCGTCTTATGAACACAGTATCAGTGTCTTTTTTATGGAAAGACGCATTTCTGCAGGAACATGTCAATTGATTGAACTTATAAAATAAATAAATAAATAGGGCCCAAGTTATTTCAGTGTCCTGATCTCAGTAAGGCCAAAATATTTTAGTTCCGAGATAGTCACACATTTTTGAAATACACTGAAGTGTAGTTTGTACAAAACAACTTAGCAATTATAGTATATTTATAGAAGTCAGAATGTCAAAACAAAATATTTTACCTCAAAAGAAAACATTAACAAAATGTTTTGTTAATCATTTGTTAATCAAATGAGAATCATGTGGATTCTCATTTTGTTGTTTTGTCTCAATTTTCATTTCAAAGGAAGTGTTGACACTTTACTTTCATTCTGGATCAGAATAAAAACCAAAGTGTCCAAACACAGCTATTTCTTTTGAAGCAGAAATAGCAATTCTTTGTCTCACAGTAACTACGGCTCTCTGGGAGGCTGCAGTCAGTATGGATCCCACTGTCAGTATACATTTGCCTTGAGAGCACAATCTTGGAATGTTTCCAACATCTGCAGGGACGATCCATGTACCTGTGCCTCCCCTGCGCCATCCCATCTTTGGGTGGATACCTAGCAGCTATTTACTAGCATAATACTTGACCACACCTGACGGAAAGGAGTGATACCTTCTCTGAAAGTTGGCTCCGCAATGGTTTTACGCAGCTGTTATTTAGGAGAGGATCCCTTCTTGAAGCAGTGAGAAAGAAGTAATTTGAAATTAAATGGTCATTAGTTGATGCTAAAGTTGATAAAGTGTCAAAAAGTATTCATGTTAAAAGTCTCACATATTTTTTGGTTAGTGGTGCTTTATTCCCAATTCCAAATGTCACAGAGCATACAGAGAAATTATCTCTGTTAGGATCATACTTACAGAGATGAACCTGACACTTGAGCTCCATTTGTACTCAGTACTCCATGTGAAGCCAACGGAGATGCCTCCTTGCGCCAATCATGGTCACTGATGCATGCATAGCAGTGGGGTTGGGGAGATAGGGACTGTTCCAGTACCCAGGTTCCTCAGCTGCGGAAAACTGAGCTCCACAGCCTGGCTTCACAGAGAGTCTATTTATTCAAAACAGGGCAGCTCCAGCAAAAGAGATTTTCACTGAGGTAAGGAGTCCAACAGTATGGCAGTGAGGACCTCCGGGAAGTCAAGGTTTGGGTCCCTTGCTCTGAATCACCAGCGACAGACGAATGCCGTTTGCTATCGTGCCCATATTATTTCAGCCTATGCTGTATCTGGAAAAATCAATTTAAGTTCTGATTGAAGGTGTGTTTCCTAGTGAAAAAATCTTAGATCAGAACATTGTTGACCAGTTTGATTATGGAGCATGTAATCAAACACCACACAATTACACACCTTCCTGGCCAGAGATGAAGAAACACTGTACAGAGTGCTATTGTTTTACAACTGGCCTTACCTTTTCTCATGAATATTAATAGGAGTTTTATTTCTGACTTCAAAGAGAGTGTGACTGAGCCCAACATACCATACAGTTGAGCAAGTGAGAAGACAGACAGCTCCCAAACTTCTGTCACACAGAGAGACGTGACAGGAAAGCCAAAGCCATTGCTGCGCTGACCACACAAGACTGTCAAAAAGACAAACTGAAACTAGAGAAGGAAAGAAGAGAAGGGAAATAATGATCAATGACCAAATCCTCAGAGTACTGCATTAGATAATGGAGAAATAGTATAGGGCATAGGTAAAAGGTAAAACTTTAGTTTCCTTTGAGATCAAGTTTTGTTTTCAGCCATGTCACTGTAACACAACCAGAATTGGAGCATGGCCCATTAGCACTTTGAATGAAGTTAAGTGTATATATTTGCTCTTTTAGTAACATATCCAATTTAATACTCTCTCACTATGGCAAGAGTAAAATGGTAAAAGAGAAACAGTAGGCCCATTTTTCTCTGCTCCATGCAGACATACTCCACGTAGCACGGTACAGAGATGTTTCAACCAGTTTTGTGACAACTCTACCTCTCTCTATATTACTTCACCAAAAGCCACACCACTGGTGGTAACGAGTACCTGACCTTGCTCGTGGATCATTACACTGTATTGCATTGTGAAGATATTCTTTATAAATGCAACATGAGGCTGACAGAAGATAACACTTCCTCCAGGCCATATCCCTGCATGTCTTTTATCTTGAACAGAAAAAAAAAGCCCACAACATAACAAAGAATGCAACAACCTCCCTGGAAGCCAATTTAAAAGCAAACTTCACTGAATTCAGGTGTCAGCTGTATATAAAGTAACTAACTCTTCAAAAAGGACATGGAGGAAAATATTACACTTAAATGTCAACATCACTAGTACTAAACCAAATTTTAAAAATTCTTACCTTTAAAAGAAAACGATCAAAGCATGGAGTTTGTTTAAAATTTCATTTATTTGTACTGTAAGCCAAAGGATCTTAACCAACATAGAAATGCACTGCTATGCCTCCTTGGGAGCTATAAACAATTGGTGCACTTGTCAAAAATATACAAGCAATTAAATGATACAGAAATGGTACATAATTCTTACACATACACTTTTATTGTGTAGGTGTACACACACACACGCACACACACGAATACATCCACATGGCAGTTTCCAGTTTCTACCTGTATAAAAGAGAAATGATAGCAAAGCTATCTAAGCCCACTTTCTAATACACGGCCAAATAGCCTAAAAAAGCTCTCATATTATTAAAATGATGCAACCAAATGCTTCCCATCCTGGCAGTTCTTTGTTGTACAATGTGCATTTGTAGCCTGACACACTCTTAAATGGCTTTGGGCTAAAAGGAGGTGCTCAGCAGCTCTTAATACAAGGCCCCTATTTATCCATCTTCAGCAAATTCAAGTATAACATAGCAAATTTAAAACCTGAATATTTGACGCTGATACAGCAAGGACTTGGGTACATGCTTAACTTTATGCATTGCATATATGCCTACTGACTGCACAGGTAAAATTCAGAGTATCAAGCATTTGCTGGGTTAGGACTTATGTTCAAATAACCAGGGCACCGTTCTTTGGGCTATACTCTACTACTTCTTTCTCAACATGGAAGGTGATTCTTTTCCTTTGTTATCAACACATTAAGGGTGCCGGAATTTATATTCATTTACAGAAAACTATTTGATGCTCTTCCCTATGTTATGATGACCCTGCTCAATGTGTTACATTAACAAAGGTGTTTTGGTTATGTTATACCACTGGAAATAACTAAAATATATAAAAGGAAGGGTAAAAAAAGGAAAAAAAAAAGGATATAAAGTCTATATAAGTATTTACATGTCCCATTATTAAAATAAATGAAGGCTAGTTAACAAAGAGTTAGCCATGAGTATGAAATACAGCTGGTTTCTAAATAAGATTAATATTAGAATAGACTATTGTTAAAAATGAAATATAACATGATATTGGAAGCTGTAATAAAATATAAATTAATAATTCTAATGAATGGAAAAATCAAAATTATATAATTATTTAAAAACACTTTGGAGAGATCAAATTACAGCTTTTTTCTCAGAAAAAGCACAGTATGGGGGAACCTCCCCCCATTATTCCTGCAATTTGATATTACATTAACAGAAGTCTTCATGTTAAAGCATAAACTTCATATATTTTAATAGCTGTTAAGAACATAATACAGTTCTTTCTAAAAATAATATGGCACCTCCTGTAAACATAAAAAGCACTGTTTTCATCGCTAATAATTTTATATGTAATACTGCATTTGTTTTGTAATGAATTCCATTCCTTCATTATAACTTGCCCATAGTTTCAAGGTCCTACTGAATCATAGTTTGCGCAGTCACAGCCTTACTCAACTTCAGAGACTTAGCACCAGAGTCACAACTATCTGGGCAACAAGACTTTTGCCTTGCAGCTTCCTGTGGCCTGCAGATACCAAAGAGATGAGGCACTTGGAGTGCCCAGCATGTGTCTCATCTATCCTCACTTGACCTATGACCAGCTTTACCCTGATATTAAAAAAAACAGAACAAAGAGTAACCTCTTATTTTTGCAAGCTCTCAGTATTGCCAGCCCAAAAGGTTTACCTGTCACGTATTAGGCTTACTTTATCTTGCACTTTTTAAAACAGCATGCTGAATTTTCCTTTTATTGCCTTCTGGCTTTGAAGTCTTTCATGTTCATTTGGGTTGTTTTCAAACTTTTCTCTAGCTAGAAATGTACTGTTCTTTTAAAGTTACCACTAAAAGTTCATTCAAAGTCGTGAGAGACAGTGACATCTACACTAAAGTTTAAATGCGTTTCTGGTTCCCATTAGGAAGTTTTTCTGGGCTTTCATTCGAAATCACTGCAGAGCTGCTCCTGTCCTCTGCACGTCCATTTGCACTTACATGGCAAAGACCATGTGATAACGGGTCTGAGCTGGACACAGGCACAAATTGCTCATCAGGCTTTGCAGCCCACAGAAGCACAAACCACAGACATTGCTGCTTTTCTGTCATGCCTGCAAGGGCTAGCAGAGGCATGCAGTGAAATTGCGAGGACCAAGTCCGTACGCCCCTTATTCCCAGCTCCTGCCAGGGCAGCTACGCTCCTCAGCTGGTTCCTAGCAGGGCGATTTGCTGTGCTGTGGCGTTCGCACAGCATGCTTGTGCATATGTCACATATGTTTTCACACTCTGTGTAACTGGGAAAAGCTTCTGTTAGCATTTAACCTTCTGTACAGCCTGTCTATTGGCAGCCTGTGATGCTGGCAAAGCCTGTGTTTTCCCTCGTGTCGTTGGTCTGATGGCAATATGAGCTCCGGCAGGGTGGAGAGACAGGCCGGCAGTTGCCACGCAAGGAGAGAGGTATGTGTGAGCTAAGAGGACTTTCTACTGTAGTCTGTTTTCTTATGAAACCGTGCATCAGTCGTGACCGGTAAGGGGAACTATCCCAAAAAATGCAGTTCTTCAGAAATTCCACTCTTTCAACTAAGGAAACATCCTTTCTATCATCCATGCATATGGAATATTTATCTCTAACCATATATGCTACATGTATAGGATATACTATCTGTAGCCATTTTCCTTTCATTACAGAAAAGCTTCACGTATCTTGCCTTCCTCACCCCTCTCCTCCTTTGCCTACTAGATATAAAAATGAGTAATTCCAAGTAATGGCTTTTTTTAAATGCTGAGTGAACTTGAAAGGTAAGGTTATTTTCTCAGTTGATTTCTATAAGCACTCAGCTACATGTATCCCTCAGGGCTTACACTTAGAAAACACCCTCTATGAATCTGCTGTTGTATCATTGCTCCTTAGGAGTGCCATTACTTCCAATTCCCCAATAACCTCTCCTTAGCACCTTTTAGCTATTGCAAGTTTTAATAAGCATACATAAGTATGTGCATATTGTAGGATGATCATCATGCTTTTGAAATCTAAACTAAGTATTTTAAAAAATTGCAACGCCATCTTGTATCCCCTTTCACTCTGAGGCTATTCATTATAATCCTAGCACAAAATTCTGCTTCCAGGAATGAAAGTGCCAGGAAGAGATACATTTTTATGCCACAGAACAAGGGGGTTTTGGCAAAACAGAAGAGGTGCTCAGAGACAGCGTTCTTGGTCTCCCAACAAAGGGACGGAAGAAAGGTTCTCAGCGGCATACAATTATTACTGTGCAGTAAATAGCAATTAAAGAGGATTAATTAGAGAGTAAAACAGGTCAATAGTACCTGCTTTTGTTCTCTTCATTCACAATATTCTTGCACTCTGTCTAATGTAATTACTACTAACAAGTTAGAGGATACATTCTTAAGACTGAAGGAAGGTGAGGGTGAATACCATAGCTGTATTCCATGCAAGAGAGGATTCTCTTTCTGCAGTCAATTAACTTTGCAGGTGCCACCCCTTCCACTACACGCCCTTCCCAATTCTCGCATACTGCTTTCCTGTTTATGCTTTAATGGTTTTCCTCCTAATTCCTTTAGGAGAAGCCCTCACAAAACAACTGAATGGCAGAGGGGAAAAATGACAATCACTAGACAAGAAGTGCTGTAAAATGCAAAGTAAATAGACACTTCTATTCCCCTAATCCTTTAAAGCGAGAAATCTTCAGTGCTACCTGTGAAGAATAGCAGGTACTATATCTTCAGAGAAGTGCAATTTTAAGCAAATATTTTCCTTTTAGCATAGTAAACTTTAACCCATCCTATCATAAAAGTGATCTTTTTTGTAATCAGCATTCTCATGACACCCAAGAATCAGCAAGAGGTTATATTACCTAGGTATTACATAGCTCAAACTGTCACTTCTTCATTAAGCCTAAGATCAGTACACAGTTTTGCACAACTTCAAAAAAAAAAAAAAAAAGTTATAGTGAATACAGCTGTTCGTAGACAAATAACCAAACTAAGTTAATCAAAGAAAAGTGAGAGTCATCAGCTCTTCCTGTTACAACTGAGAGAAATGTAGGAAGAAAAACAAAAAGTGTAAGAAAGGAAAGTTCAGGTAGACTTTTAGGATTTCTTTCATTTTTGTAATGTCAGAGCTTATTAGGAAATTATATAAGGAAGACACTTTATTTCCAACTTTAAGCAGAAGAGGTCATACTCTTCATTTATATGCCTCATGAGATCTGGGTGCAAGAATGAAAAACTCTGCCTAGAAATATAGCTACTTCTAGTATCTGTGGTTTGCTCCCAAGTAGACAATGACACGGTTTTCATATACCTTCTTCATAGTTTTCTCAATTTGCTTCAGAAATACTTGTGGAATTCTCCCACATAAAGTGTGCACTGTATCCAGAAACTTAGACTGAAGAGGGTAGTACAAAGACTGGAAGAGATTGTCTTCAAAGGGAAACTAAAGAAAAGAAAAAAAGAATTATTTTTTTCAGGAGCTGTAAAATAGCATTTAAAAGTTGCTGTAAGATAAAGCTTTATACACATAGGCAATGATTTGTTCCTCACCTTTCCAAAGGGTCATCAACACCTATCAACTTCAAACATTTGGATATTGGTCTGCTTGAGAGTGCTTGCTTTCAGAAAAGTGCGTCTAGGCATATTACCTGAAATAGTCAACTTCACAAAATTGTATTTCTAGGCTCCATATATAAAGCAAGTTTACTAAGGTAGGGGGACTGCAATGAAACAGACATTTTAGAGGGTAAGGTTGCACACATCTAAATAAAGTAGCTACTTGAAGGCGCTCCTGTTCGATGGAGTAACCTGAGGACACATGAATGATACTGTTTTTGTTTAGATCAGGAGCTCACTTCTGAAGTGAATCTCCTGATTGCTCTGCAACGCAATCCAAAGTACAGTGAGTGGACGCTATCTTGGAAAGCAGGAA